AGGTCAAACAAGAGAATGAAAGAGGCCAAAGAATATGGTGGTGGCCAGAGATGAAACAAGTGTGAAACATAAAATCATTTTAGACATCAAAATTTGAGGAAGGGAGAACTAGAGGTGTTTAAAACGATGCTGGAGGAGGGAAAGAAATTGACCTGGGCCTTTGAAACCACACCAGGGGCCAAGAGCCAAGGGCAGTGGCAGAGGGAAAAGCCAGGGAGGACAATTGAAACAGAAATCGGACTCCTTATACCACAGCATGGAGCGGGACTGGGGACTTTGCTGTAGTGGGAGGTGGGTCTGAAAGGACCTGGGCAGATTGGAGAACGCCAGTTGGCCTTTGCAGTTCTGAGCTCAGACCGTGGTGACAATCTGGGGCTTGAGCTCAGAAGCCTAGGTTGAGGTGAATTTTGGAAATTTTCTCTTAGCTCCCAAACTCTTAAAATGTGCTCCTCACACCACTGGCCTCCAATCTCAGCATAAACACGTGTCCTGGCAGCTGTTTCCCAGTGGAGGTTTCAGCAGTGGTACCTGTCTTCCCCATTGGCCCTTCCACTTTCTCATTCCCTAGATATTATAGATTTGGCTGAATGCAATATATTTGCATATTTCCCTTCACCCATCCGACATCCTTCCCATCTCCAGATTCCTAGGGTTAATCCCCAGGACAACGTTGCTTTGAAAGAAAAAAACGTTATGAGCCTTGTTAAAGATTTGGATCCCAGAGACCTCTGTCTGTCCTGCCTCACCCAGACCCCAGAGAGCGAGCCCCAGGAGGCGGCCATCTCCAGAGGAGGAGCAGTGAGTTTTTGCTGCTGCTTGTTTTCCAGGCTTGGTTGCTCTGCAGAATCAGGTACCCTGAAGCATGGGGCTTCCTTTTATTTTTTTTCTCTTACTTCTTTTTTCTTTTCTTTCTCAGCTAAATACAATAATATCCCCTTACCATTCTGGGGTGTTTCAAAAAGGAATTGAATTAGAAAGCACTTCTTCATTGCTGCTCATATCCTGGGTTAAAGATATCTGACTTGATCTGGGTGTGCCTATTCTCAACATTGCAATATTTTAAAATGTACCTGTATTTGTTAAAATAATTTGTACTGATTCTTCTTCTCCAGAATAAATACTATGTTACTGGCTGATTGATTTTAATTATGATTAATTTGTCCCAGAGCTTGCATAGATGTCTTCTTTGGGGATTTTTGTGCATGTTTGTTGCTCATTAAAGGGAAGGATGGAAGGCTTTGGAAGGAGGGAGTGGTCCGGCTGACTCAGCCAGCTTCCCGGCTCATCACTGACTGTTGCCTTGTCTTCTCCCTTTCTCCTCTCCTGGCTCCTCGGATCTACCCTGAGCCTACTGTCAATGAATTAGCATCTACCTTTCTTTCCTATGCCAGCCTATGTTAGACTTGGTCTGGTAAGAGATCATTCCCCATAATCAAACTCATTACATTTGTGTCTCAGCATATTTGCAAACCAAGATGAAGACCAGAAAACTGCATCTGCTCCCTAAACTTCTCCCATCCTGGGATTATTAGCCAGATATTAATAACAAAAATAATGCTGTATTTAGAAGCTCTCTAGCACATTTTATCTTTGAGAGCCTTGTAAATGTTAACTAATTAATCTTCACAACACTCCATACAAAAGAGGTAAATATTATTAACCACAATTAAATATAGTATGGATTTGCTAAGGACAGCAAAATAGTTCACTTATTTATCATGGTTCACTTGATATAGTAACTGGTATTTTTAAAGCACCCATCATAGATACAATAATTAGAGATGTGCTTTTGCTAACAAAACCACTACCCACTTCTAGCGTACCCTTGGGTACTAAATAATTACCCACTTTGTGTGGTTATCTAGCTCACTAATTACCCACAGAAATTGGGGTCAGGTGTTAACTGCTTGAAATAAGTATCCTCCAAAGACATCACTCAGTTGTACAGAAAAAAGTGATGTGTTCATAGCAAAACTTTCATAACTCATATATTTGTAAGTTGTGTGAATAAAGATGAGGCAAATTAGTTCACTATGTGAAAATCATGCCTAACTATTACTGAAAATACACAGAGGTCCAGGAGAGTCTCATTGAACTCCATCCTCTATTTACTTTTCCTTTTTGAAGATGAGTGCAATAGCACGACCCCCATAATCTGGCCTTCGTATGCAAGCACACTACAATTGATGACTCTGCTTAGAAATGATTCATTTTGGTACTACAGGGGAGCACCCCATGAGTCAAAGATAGCGTATGACAGCTCCACCCTGTATGATTATTCTAGCATGTTTCTTTTTTCTCCATCCATCTACTGCAAACATGCTGTTAGACAAATCTGAAAAAGATTCTAACCTAGTCACCAACCTTTACAAACCATCTTTGTCCTTCCCAATAATGACAAAAAGAAAAATAAAAGTACTAAATGCAATCCAACACTAGGATTGCAGGTCTTTCTCTTCTTGCTTCTGTTTGTTCTGCTCCTCTCCCTCTCCCTCTCCCTCTCCCCTCCTCTTCCTCAGTCCTCCTCCCTCCCCTCCCCTCCCCTCTCCCTTCTTCCTCTCTCTGAGCCTCCTTCTTGCGAGTGCTTTTTCTTCTCCTTTTCCTTGGCATACAGCCCTGCTACTGCAGGTTTCACAGTCAGAGACAAAGCACAATATCTGAGTTGAGCACAAAGGAGCTACCTTTTAAAAATATTGACTTGGAGGAAATCTGCATCCTCAGACACCTCCCTCCGTCCCTTGCTCTGCACAGAGCCCAGCACCACACGTAGCGCGGCACTGCCCGGGGCCTGCAGGACCCCAGCCGGGAGAACTGGGTTAAGATGGCAGCACACACACTGCGCACGCAGGCAGGTAGAGACCCTCGTTTTCGTGCGATACCTGTTTTACAGGACCATTGTGCAGCTCAGCTTTGAAAATGTGTGCCAAAAAAAAAAAAAATGTTGGAAATGCTCTTTTAGTTAACTCGGGGCATCTTTCATTTTCCTGTTGTGCCACTTTTGTCATCTGAATTATTGCTTATCATTATTAAGGGACTTTCGGCTGGTCAGTGAGGTGCATATGTATCTGATGGACATTTGAGGCGAAATGCTCCAGGAATGGGGAACATGTCTGCAGTAAAAGCAAAGGGTTCGAATGAGCTACAGTGACTGATGTGTTCATTTCAAAATCCCAGGGAATGTGAGTGGTCAGTTAGTACGTATGGCAAGTATATTCAAAGAGCAAAGCCCAGCAACGGAAAGGAATCTTAGCGTTGCAGTCATCGTGATGCCTAGCGTGTCTGCGTATTTAAAATGTTTATTAAGTCACCGTTCTTTCATCCCTCTAAATCCCGATTTCAAAGACATATCTGGGCAGTGTTGACTTCCTGTCCATAGAGAAACCCACCAAGATTCATAAAACCCATCACCTGCCTATGTGTTTTTTAAGTACCCGTGGGATATGGAACAATTGGGCAGGGAACTGCATTGTGGTCTCTTCACTCCTTTCGCCCTTTCCTCTCCTTTTAGAAAAGATGATACCTGATCTCCGTGTCTAGCAGGCTGAGGATTTTTTTGTGTTTGTGGAATATAATGTCTGGCCTTCCCCCTGACCTGCTGGCGTATTTTTGGTCTCATTAGTAGTCAGGGAGATGCCTCAGTGCATCCGGTGCTGCGAGTCAGAGACGAGAAACACTACAACGGCGCGAGGGAGAGTGCACGCGACGACGTGAGGCGAGAGGCTGGTCTCCGAGACAGGGAAGGACCTGAGAACTGACAGGACCGCAGCTTTGTATGCAGGAGCCTGGGAGGGCGGGGGCGCGGCGGGGGAGCCAACGGGATTCTCAGAGAGGGAGGAAGGCCGTAGAGGAGCTAAAGGTGATTAGAGGGGGATATCGATTCCTTGCTCTGCCAGAGACTGAAGCAGGCACGCGAGGAATCCGCACCAGGGCTGGCACAGGGGCCGCCGCCTCCTGTAACCAGACACGCGGCTCGCCGGGAGCCGGCGAGAGCCGAGAAGAAAGGGGGCAGTGTGGTCTCGGGGAATTCGGCTGGTCGCTGATTTGTGCCTGATGCTTGCTGTCCGTCAGCAGCCTCCCTCACAATCTTTTTTTCTCCCCCTTTTTTTTCTTGCCTTCTCCTTCTTCACCGAAGCCTAGGGGAGCCAGTAAAGATTAAATGTGCCTTCTCAAAGGCAGCCACTTCATGCTGCTATGTCGAAAGGGCCATTATGATTTTTATTTTTAATAGTAAAAGGAAGAGGGGGAGAGGCAGACTGCGAGAGCGGGCAGAGGAGGCAGGCTAGGTAGGATGGGGACGGGCCAGCTTTCCTGAGAGAAGGGAAGGGAAGGGGCGGAAAAAGGAGCGGCCGAGCCGAGGACTGTGCCTGCGACGACCCGCGGAGGTGAGGAAAGTCTCCGCGCCGCGGTGGGGGTGGGGCCGCCGCGCAGCCCGCGCCGAGGGGACCGAGCTTAGCGTCTCGCGGCGCGATTCCGTTCCGAAGAGGGGAAGGATGGGGGAGAGGCCGGAGCTTCGCCAGCTTTAGTTGCATCTGGAAATAGATACGGAATATTTAGCCTTTCACGGAGGGAGGCCCCCTCCGAGTGTCTTCCTTGAGGGGCTGCTTTGTCATTCTCTTTGACCAGCCAGCCCTCTATCTACCTTGCTCAGACTGGAATAAAAGAAGAAAGAAAAGAGAAAAGAAAGGCAGAAAGAAAAAGGGAAGAAAAAATTTTAAGGAGTCATCTCCCCACCCACTTCCCCTCCTTTTCGTTTCATTTTTGGACGCGTCACGGGAGCCAGCCGTCTTCACGTCGCGCAGCTCGGCGTCCGGCGGACGGGCCGCGACCATCAGGTACCTCACCGGTAGCTGCCCGCGAGGACGCCGGGGCTGCGCCGCGGGCTCGGCCGGAGCCCTGGCGGGCCGGGCCAGGCCCCACGGCGGGCCGGGCGGGCGGGAGCGCCGTCTCCGCGCCCCCCCCGCCCCGCCGCCCCCGCCTCGCGGCTGCCGAGTGACAGCCCGGGGCTGGCTTCGTCTGGGACTTGGCCTTGGCCGCCGCCGAGCGGCCGATGCCCGCGGGGCCCGTCGGCGGGACGGGCGGAGTGCGCGCGGACGGACGACGAGGAGGACGAACATTTTGAACGCCGCTCTGGGGAGGTTTCGCATTCTTTAGTTAAAAAAAAATAATGACGGAATATTTTCAAAATTTGACCGGCCCCAGTCCTTCCCCCCGGCCCCACCACAGCCGCCCTCTTTCCTCCCTGTGTGCTCGAAGCCGCGGGCAGAGCCGCGCTCCCCAGGCCCCGCGTGCCGCGGCGCCCCCGCCCCCGCGCGCCCCGCGCTCGCGCCCGCGCCCCGCGGCGACGCCGCGCCCAGAGCTCGCGTTCCCGGCTCGGACGGCGCGACCGCGGCGGCTGCCCGCTCCTCCTCCAGCCGGGTGAGTGCGAAACGCCGTTCCTATTTACACTTTTTCAGCTTCCAAGTCCTCCTTCTGCGTCCCCAGCGTCTCAGAGCCTGCTTTCGCTAAGTCTGTCTGTGGCATGCTTCCCCGGGGGAGAGAGATGCCTCGTTCTCTGTAGTCATTTCTGCGAGTCGTAAATTAAATCTTGGAAGAGACGTTTGATCCTCATTACAGACCATGGTTTTAAAGACATGGCATTTCTGAGTCTATTCGTATTATTTTCCATTTTAGTAAACAGCTTGGCCAAAGCTGTAAAGAGGTTTCTCTGATGTTCTCAGGATTGTATGTTCAGGTATGTATATGTGGCCGCAGACGGTGCGTGTGTGCGTGTGGGGGTGTGTGCATTTCCACTACACTGAGGTGGCATCTAAGTCTTGTGACCCGAAGGGAGCGGAGAGGCTACGGGAGCACCCTGCCACCTGTTTGTCGCCTTTTAATCATGACGCCAGAATAGAAATTGCCTGTCATTCTTTTTCTGCTTTGTTTTGTCTCAAGAAAGAACAATTTGTTGCGCTCCTCTCAATCCCTGAGACCCTAACTTGTGATGTTTACCGTTTAAATCCACGGGTTAGGCTCTTGGGAGCTGCGAGTGGTGCTTTAGCATCCTGGAAATTTGGTGGAACTTTCTGCTTTAAAGCAAAGACAAAAGAAAGGAAAGTTTGTCTGGAGTGATGGAGTGCATCTCTGAGGTTTTCACTGTTGGATGGGATCAGGTGATCAGAAAGTGGCAGCTTCTGGGTTCCTGTGGAAGGGAGCCCCTGTTCTGTGGCCGCGGCGTTCTGGCTGCTGTCTGTGCGCGCGGATGTCCCGGCCGCCGAGGCTCGCGGAACTCGTCTTCCAGGGTCGCTTCCGGAGAGCCGCGGGCAGGGCTCTCGGGGCACAGCGGAGCGGCTCGGTACCTGCGCTCGGCCGCAGGACGGGTCCGCGGGCGTCCCAGCATGCCCCGTGCTTCCAACTTTTAAACTCAACAGTTGATCCTAAAATTGTGCCCAGGTACAGTGGGCATGTGGACATAGTATAGATTCAGTGCCCACACATGTGTAGCCTATATGGTTAGATGGGGAACACAGACATAGATGGGGGTGAACCAGTAGTTGGGGCAAAAATATCGATAGGCTAAAAATTTTACTCTTGTTATTCTAGGCGAAGGTTGGAATTCATGGTATTAATAAAGACTAAATTTGTATTTCTTTGCAAGACCTTAAATAAAATAAAAGGAGAGAAATAGCCTCTTGCTTGGCATCTACTTTAAAATGCTATGCACAATGAATTTAAAAGTAATAGGGGTCAGAAATATATTTTCCATATATGTGTATAATAGGAAAATATAAAGCACACACACAAAATTACTGCATTCTTTAGGAGTAACTATGCCTATTACTCTTTGTTTAAAAATTGGAAAAAATTGTCAGGATTTAAATTCAATCCCGTGTAGTTACTTATAAGACCAAACTGTACATTTAAAATTATCTTCTTTTTGTTAGGATTACCTGCTTTGTAGTTTTCTGACAATGGAACATTTTTGTAACAGAATAATTTCAGTGATTTAGATCTATCTCAGAGTTAGAGAAGAGAAACGGCAATTTACCTTTCCTTTGTTGTGAAAAATTCCAATATACAATTTCATTTAAACAATTTTAGTGTTCTTGGGCCAACATTTGTCTTCTGTTTTTGGAAAATACCTAAATCAATCCAAGTTCAAATGAGTTTTTCATTTCAAGATTTTATATTGGTTGTAACCTTGTTTTATACTTGTAGTCAAAGGTTAAGGAAAGTCTTTTTTTCACCCGTTGTTTTCTTTAAGTATTCATTGCAATTTTAGTCATTGACTTCAGGTAATAGTCAAAGAACCGTTTTGTATCAGAAAACTGAATTGAGAAGATGAACTGTGGAACAATTGCACCATGCCTTTTGTTGAAACCTTTAGTGTACTTGTAATATTTAGTATTACTCTCCAGCCTTTGATAGTTGGAATGTGTTTCAAAGAAAAGTTATTTCATTTTCAAGTCATCTTTTGGTTTCTATAGAATGGATTAATGATTTTCCCCCATCTTAGCTGATGTGTATGCATAGGTATTTGGAAATGAAAATACATCTATTTAACTTATGGATCTATATTATCGCATGATTCGTATCAAATATTTGTAAAACATTTGGTGCTTTTTTGAAGTCAAAATATATCTTCAGTTAATTTTATGAAAATGTATGCATGGGTCAATAAAAACCTGTTAGATAAAATTCTTCTGTGATTTTTAATAGCAGGATAGTAATTTAATACAAGTGATAGTTTGTATTCCAAGGCATTCTTTTGGTTTTTTACATGTTTTCAAGTGGTTTGCTCATGTTCTGAGGTTGCTATCATACAACTGATCACTCAGGCATTTAGGAGTGCATAACGACACACAAGATTTTATATTTCAGCAGGGAACTGTTTCAGCGTAAGATAGGTTTCTCAGCACCCCTTCTTCCTCACTGAGCCCATCAAGTGAACTTCAGTGAAATGAATAACATAATTGGTGGTTGGTTCAATCACTACCAGTCTAGACTAGCCCAGACGCATCAATTAGAGGGGGCTGTCTTTTAAAGGGAGAGTGCAACCGAAACAAGCAGGGCATTATTGATACGGATCTTTAAAAGTGCAAATCCAGCTTGGCAGATAAAAAAAAATAAGGCGGGGAATTTGGGGGTGGGGTGCATTGCAGGAAGAAAAGAGAAAGAAAGAAGTGAACTGGAGCTTTGGGACACAGAAAGACAGGAAGCTGAGAGAAAAGGAGGGGATAATGAGTGAAATGCAATGCAGCACCTCCTTGGAACACAGTTACAATTCAGTTCACAGGGCATACTGGTTCACCATATTTTGAACCAGATTCTCTCCCCCCCTTCTTTTTTTATTCCTTTTTTGCCCGTTTCCCAAGAAGTACCAGCTCAAAAACAATGCAGTTGGAAATTTAGGAAGCTCTAGTGAGAATAAAGCCAAGTTAATATCAACCAGCCAAAACTCCTTTTGCAACATTTTTTCCCCCAAAGAAAAACACACACACACACAATGTTTGAGTTTCTAATCCCACCTTTTAAAAAAAATCAACTGTACTAATGAACAATACTCATTTTAAGTCCAGCAACTGGGAATTAATTTTATGGGCAAGACACCTTTAGGTAAACAGTTCATAGTTTTCTATTGAATACAGTAAAATTATGAAGAATGGAACAAAGGCTTTGGTGACTTGTTGGGGTGGGGGGTGGTTGATAAAAGAGGATTTAGAAAGCATTAGGAATATAACAAGCTCTGGGGAAAGAAAATGTTTAATTGGTATTAATTAAAACACTGCTAATATATTCTAATAAAATCAAATTTAACATTCTAAACTAATCCGCTTGATATGTCAAAGGAAAAGAAAAGTATTATCTTATTTGCATCTCTGCAATTCAAATGCATTTGCTCATTCAGCAGAATTAATTTTTATCACCAGCCTGTTTAATCTCCTCACAGATTTAGTCAAATTTATTCTTTCAAACTAAAAGGATCAAGGTAGGGAATCCATAAAGGTATTGGGAAGACTAGTGACTATATTTAGTACTGGCTTTATATTGTACTATGTTCTTTTCTCTTCCTTTACTATAACGAGGTGTGGGGAAAACGGTGAGATTGCAGCGAGAATGATGAATGGTTAATTTTTCCTGTCTCTCTTCCCTACCTTCCAGGTTATTTAGGAATTTCAGTTGCCAAGTTATAAAAGTGGCATTTATTTACATGGCTGATGTTGGTCTGTTGATTAATATCTAATTTATTTCTAATTTCAGAATCTATTTTATTGCAAATTCCTAATGAAAAAGGCTCTCATGCCAGAAACTAATTACCTTTCCTCAATTAGTTTCAACTGTAGTCCTCCTAAATGCAAGTGGGGAGGTGAATGTAAAATTTTATTCACCTAGAACTGAATCCTTTGTTTCATTTTTAAGTTAAAATTTCTACCGGAAAATCCACACTTTTATGAAATGACAAGTTTTATGCTCTTTATTGTTGAACTCTCACAGGGGATAAAATTGTCCCAAAATGACATCATTGCTAAAATGTTTCTCCTCTCATTAGTCTCTCCCATGACCATGATATCATATGTAAATATGTGCCTAACACCAAAAATAAATGGGCCAAATATATTGAGGACCACATTTGTATATTTCAGAAGTGAGCAGTTCTGCACACTATCAAGGAGATGTGAACTACTGCCTCAACTACTGATGATCCTGCCTTTTTGCTCCATTGCCTTTTTCAGTTCTTCAACGTAAAAGAGCAATTGCAGTTCAGTTTCTCATGTATTGTTCTATAATCCAGGCAATAAATGCTAATTAGTAATGCTCAAGGATCCAAGTACTCAGAGTAATTATCATAATTTACTTCTTCCTTGTTAAAAAACATTCCTTGCTGATTAAAAAAAAATTAAATTGTTGTTTTACCATTGCACTGCAGTGGAAATACACCGGAGAGATGTTTAAGGTAGGGCCATATATCGTTCTGGATTCATCCGGAGCCACCAACACGTGCCTCTTAGCTTATTCCAAATGGAATTGCAACTTAATTTCTAAAAAAGGAATTCGTGTAAATACATAAAGTTTTGCATGTGCACCAGTAATGTATGATTTTATTTTACAAACCCCAAGGCTCCTCCTTCTTGGCCCATCCCCTTTCTAAAATCACTTACAGAGCAGAACAAAGGAAACTGCTAACTATAGAGGCATCGTTGTGAACAGCAACAGCATGATAAAGTATGTGATATGACAACATATTTCATTGCACAAAAGTGCAGCTAATTAAATAATTAAAGAGTAACCCTAATTAGTAGACAGATCTTTAAGGAGGAATCAAGAAAATGGATCCAATCAACTTGAATAATATGCTCCATTCTCCAAGATTAGAAATATATATTTGGTTATTTGATGATTGGTTGATTTATACAGAAAGATGAGGACAAAAGCCTATTTCTCAAAATGGAGCTTTGATCGGGCATCCTCTTTAGGACAAATTAATTGTACATTTTATAAGAATAGAACTTAATGTAGTGCTCTCTTTTCAATAAAAGATATAACCTGTTATTCACTTGCATATTTGTCTTTTGTCAGTTGATCTAAGAAATCATCTAAAAATTATAAGCCCCTTAGTTTTTCACATCATTGCTGCAGGATATATATGAAGACTGCCCCACATTTTAAAATGAGGTTCATGTTGAAGATTGTTGCTTATTGCTGGAAGTAAATAAGAATACTATGCACAGAAGAAACAGAATAAAAAACCATGCCAAATATTATATTCGATGGAGACAGCCCCCTTGGCTTTATCTATCAAGGTTATAGTCTCAGGGTTCATTGTCCATGGGTCCTTTAAGGGAGAACTTCAGCTTTTATTTGAGGGTTGTTAGCACATTAGAGGAGTAATTCCCTTTGGATACTATACAGAAGGAGCCACCTGCAAAATGTTGATGCTCTTATTGAAATCTCAAGTGGAATCAGCTTTCAAAAAATTAGATATTAGATGCATCCGATATAATTTGCAATGTGTAATTATACTAATGTGCATATAGTTGTGTGTTGCTTTATATGTTGCCTATTTGAGACTTTTTCCCCCCATTTGGCATTTCTCATCACTTGACATGGTTACTGTGTAGAATGTTCTTCAAGTGAACTTTTAAACAAATTTCTTGTTAATTAATGTAAGAATAAAAGGACTCAATAGAATCTGTATTCTCATACCATAACAAATATGTGTAACCTAGATGTTGGCAATTGTGTCTAAAAAGTTATCATTGTGGATACTTTTGCATTATGTGTAAACTATTTGCTTATTTAATTTTAATCCTAACTTTGGGTAACTTGAAGTTAGGGAGAACATTAGAATAGTAAATATTATCTGTAAGAAATCTATTTGCTTTATTAAAATAATGAGATACAATGCCAGGGAAATAGCCTTAGGCAGAGATAATACTTTTAATTTAATCAAATTAATCAAAATCATAACAATAATAAACAACTTCTTTTCTAACTTTTTTCATTTTGCATGGCACGTGATGATGGATAACAGAAACCTTGCCCTAGATTACCTTTGCACCCACATCAGCTTCCCTTTTGGTGTCTCATTGTGGTGGGCACTTGGACTGCAACTCCCTCTCCTCAGAGCTGACCCTGGATGCTAGCAACTAAGGAGAAACCCAGGCAGAACAACAGCACGCTGACTGGTCAGCCAGGCCATTGGTACTTGCTGTGTGCTCAGTAGGTGATAATGCTCTTGATGCAAATTTGGAGAGTCATCGCAGTCAGGTCACAGAGAGACCGGGGCAACCCAATACAAGGGTCCCATTTATGCTCCCCCTTCAGGAGACAAAAGGGATTCCAAAGGAAGCTCGTGTTGAGATGATACAAGGTGTTACTCGTCCCATTAAGTAGGCATAGGCACCAAAGATGGCCAGTTGTTAATCATTTGACTCCTATAGTGGTTCACATATTTATACTACTTATTCTTCAAGTTTATTTTAAAAACGGGACCCCTATTATAAAAGAGACATTTGTATGGGCTATATCTAAGATACACCAGAGCAATACATTGTTTTACTTTTCATCTGGACTTTCTATTATTAAGCTACCCAAAAGAGTCACAAAAAAAATTGTGTGAAATATCTTCTCTTAATACAATAGTATTTTAATTTATTGACAAATGAATCTTAAACATGTGTAGCAAATGATTAAGCACCCCACCCTCCCACTCCATGTTCACAAAATAATGAATTCTAAATTCTGTAAAATGTATATTTTATTTAATGACTCATTTAGGATCAGTTATCACATGCTTGGTCAGGACAGAAAAAATAAAATACCTATTAATGATACTTAAAATAGGTTATTTTAGAGGTTTCAGGGGGAAAATTTAATATACCTCCCATCTAGAGAGCCAACGTCTTTAATGTGTTTAAAGTGTTTAGGGCAGAAGGCAATGATATGTGGTAGCATATCCCTTTTGGTGTACCTAACTCATTATGCATCTTCATTGTGCTAGCTTAATGAAGAGGCTGACAATAAAGGGTTTAGTTCAATTAAAATCCACCTGCAAAGTGTATTTCATTCATAACATCTTTTGTATAGTAAAAGAAACATTAATACAGCTCTTCCCAAACATCCCTGTCTGTAAAATGAGTGGGTTGGATTAGTTGGTCTCTAAATTCTTTTACAGCTCTAAGAATTTTTGAAGCTATTCTAAAGTAGAGTCTATTTGTACCAACAGTTGTTGTTTAAAGTTATATTTGATTCCACCTCCAGGTACTGTATTTACTAACATGTTGTTGTCTTGATGTTAAAACAGTCAAGTTCATTTTTAGGAAGGGCAGTGACAGAAAAGAGGGACAGCTGTAGAATGAAAAATGCTACACAAGGAGAGAAGGAAATTCTTGATATGGGTTCTAAATCCATTTCCTTCAACATTAACATAGAAAAAACCCAGACAAGCACCTGCCTTTCTATTTTAAGACCATATTTTTTTAGTTCTTATGTCTTCATGTAATTTCTTGCTGTATGGTTTGTTTTTTCCCCCATTGGGTTGACGTCGTTTGAGTTTCACATTTCCCTTTCCACTTCATTTATCTGAATCATGTTAATATTCCCTTCAAAAGCCTACAATAGTTATGTTAACACACCACATTTTCAAAATTAAATCTTAATATGTTCAAAACCTCCTGAAATTTTCTCCACCCCATTTTCTAAAACCACTTAAATATTTAATCTGTGTTTGAAGTAAGCAAGCCTGTTTCCCTGGCTTCCAAGTCTTTGAACTTGCTTGCAGGCTGCTTTCCTCCCTGCGCACTGTATCCCTCTGCTCCATTTCAGAAACCTTTCCTTTCCTCCTGGCTTTCTCTCCCTCCCACTGCCTTCATTCTTCCTGTCTCTTTTTTTGAATGCCTCCCTCCCTTTCTCCCTTCTTCCCTACCTTCCTTCCTTCTGACTTTACTCCCTTTTTCCTCCCTTCCTTCCTTTTGTTCTTTTATTGGCCACCATGTGTCATGCTCTGAGCCAGGAACTAGAAATACAAATCAAGGGATTGACATTATTTTCTAGCAGTTCTACTGACTTCACTCACTCCTGCATTGCTAAGCAATTATGTACCCACAATTATTTTATTTTGCATTTAGTCTAGATATTCAAATGTGTCCTCAGTGCCCTGTGTTCTCGTCGTTTTCCTACGTGTCCTATTTTAGTAAGTTGCCTGTTGGATAAAGATGAAGCCTTCCTTACGGAGTGTTTTCTCCCAGAGTGATTAGCGTGGCCCTCACACACACTCGAGCAATGCTGTTGCTCCACTGAGTCTTGAACGAGGTGAACAATAAGAAAGAGCCACATTTTTCTGGTGATGCAGCATTCCACTTGCAGTTAGGAATAACACGGTCCTAAAGCATCATTACATGTATTTATTTTTATTAAAGAGTCAATGTGATAACTTTCTGTGACATGTTCTGAATTTTTTTTAGTTGTGTTGATGTTCCTTTCAGCTGGTCCTTTAGCCTCCCCCAGGAATGTCTCCCCAGTGAAAGGGCAGAGCCTGAGGTGAGAGCCGCACCAGTGGACGCTCCAGCCAGCGCTGAAGTTCAAACACAGCCATCACCTGAAGACCCCTCTCCTGCTCAGCAACACACCCAGATGCAGTTCCGGCCCCTAGAACTCTCACAACAATGGCATTTTTTTTTTCCAGAAACAGACAAACTTAATAATGTCATCTAGATTTTTAATGAGCCAAAGACTTTTCCTTCCTCATTTGTATTCCTCTGCTTGCATTTAAATTTAGTGTGATACTCATTTTTAAAATCCTTCCTAATATAAATATGCTTATTAATGCACCAATTTTTAAAATGGAAAATTTCACAAATGTGTTAATGTTTTTAAGGATCAAAATTAATGCTATAAGTAGATTAATTTTTAGCCACAGACAGAGTTTGATCCTAAGAGTGACCTAAGGACTGTAAAGGACGCTTGAAATAACAAAGTGGTCAGAGGCAGTCAGAGAGATGAAATACTGATGGAAAGTTATAGAGCAGGGCAGAAATACCGCATTATGCCACCTGATACTAACCCATCACCATTCCTTTCAATAGGCAAGCTAGGTTCTGTGAGATACAGGCACTACCTCTAAAGAGTTTAAATCTAGTCAGACAGAGGTACATAAACTTTTGAAAAGATAAGTAACAAATTGGGTCGACAGATGGAAAGACCAAAACAAAACAAATGATTTGAACAAGGAATTCAGAGGAGGTCAGCACAAGCTTGATAATACTGGTTTGTTTAGGGAAGAAAGTTCCCCTAAGGACAACATTATAAGCTGGATCTTACAGGATGTTTAAAAATTAGATAAATGGAAACAAAGGAGAAAGTGGAGTCTTTCAGATAGAGGCATTATTGTGTGAGCAGAGCCATGAGGAAGTAATCTACAGGGTGAGTTTAGGGAATTCTGAACACACACATCTAGTTGACTTCCCTCCATACACTTAATGCCAGTGTGTACATACATACATGGTGAGGACTCCACCTGCACGTGTTCCCCTCTCACACCAGGTGTGGCCTGGAATTACAGTTGTATTTCTTTGCCATTAATGCAAGTGGGAGAGACTGGTAATAATATGTGAAGTTGTAATTTCTCTGTTAACTTAATAATAGTTGGTATTTATTGAATTCTCACTATATGTTAAATATATATATTATCTCAAACTCCACAATCCTGCAAAATAAGTATTATATCCATTTTATAGATGAGAAAACTGAGGTTTAATGAGATTAGGAAACTTGCCCGGCCTAGATATGCAGGGATCACGTTCGGAACTGCGGTCACCAAGCTCGTGATCTAAGGTGGCATTTCCGCCCTGCGCCACAGGTGTTCTTAAAATGTGCAACACCTGTCTTTTTTAGAGAGGGGGCACCAACCTCTTTTCCCTTAGATGGTCAAATAAAAAAAAAATGACAACAGCCAACATAACAATAGCTGCCTAGTGTGAATGAATCAAAATTATACCTGTTTGGTCAGAAATGGCAAAAAATGCATTTTTTGGTATGCTACAGAATTTTAGTAACTAGTTTATGTGTTCCATGATATGAAAAAGGTTAAAAATTGCTGATCTAAGGCATCAGGTTGCAATATTGCAGTTACTATATTACCGCTTCTGTATTGCTTGATATTTTTTTGCAGTAGACAAAAAGCTATTTAATTATCCCCTCAAATTTCTCAGATTTCTGGTTAAATTATCCTAGAGTGATAGAATGTATTTTTCTGATAGAAAATTATCAAGGAATAGAGCTTATCAGTATTTTAGCCTTTTTTTTTTGACAGACTTTGATGATATTCATCAATTTGGTCTCCATGAAGTCTCAAATTCTTGAAAAGCAGAAAATGGGACTGGGGAGCCAAAGGGCTATCAAGCGCAATGACTCTTCTAGAGATGCGATAACTTCATGGCGTTAGAGCGGCTTGTGAGACCGCGCGTTTGAGGGCGGCAGAGCCAGGCCCTGCAGTCGAACCTCAGAGGCCCTTGAGCTACTTCGCTCCACCTAAATAAAGTATGGACTTGAATTTGATCAGTCAAAACATTTTATCTGGGTGATTTGGGGGCATTGTACCTAGTAAATTGCCTCAAGTTTGTGTCTTTTTGGCTTACCATGTTAATGTGAAAAATCACTGGCTGTGAACCTAACATCTTTAGATCCAGAAATTATCTTGGTCCATCTTCCTAAAACACACAATGGCCCAAGTTATTTTGTACAATGTCTTAAATGATATTCTTAAGTTATTTGGAATTCTTAGTTCAACTAAACAAATAAGATCTCCTGAGTATTTTCTTAACCCATTTTTGTGCACAGTATGTATTTATAAGTGCTTCTGCAGGAATATTTACACATGACTGTTTCAATCATCCTTATATTTTTTAAAATATCAATGGTTATTTGCTATTTAATCCTTACTTATCCATGTCTCAACTCAAGAATACTTCAGCCATAGAAAGCTTGAACTGAGGAAAGCTTACTCTTTTTTACCAGCCCCCTTGCATTTAGTTGGTATTTAGTAAGGACTGATAACATGGTCAGCTGGAGAGATTCAAAACACATTTCTGTCCTGAAGGAGTCAGTGAAGCTGGGTTTCCTTCAGAACAAACCTCTGGACCCTTGGATGTACCTGTTACTGCCTGCTGTCCATTTCCCCTTAGACACCTGGCACTGTCAGACTTGGGTCTCCTCATGGTCTGGTTGGGTTCAATGTGATCATTGGCCATATCTCATACAGTTCTGATTAAATGAGTTCCTAATTTAACAGGGTTTTTTAAAAAAGCATCCAAGCACAAAATGTGACTTTGTTGACATTTTATGAGACTTTGTTGTATGTCCACTGAACCCCCAATAAAAGCAATATTGCATCAGCTGTGAACTCGTGTTGGTTTCTTGGAAGAAGATATTCTCATCATTTGTTTGTTTTCACTAGCGTATATCAAAGCTATCTGGAGAATCCAGGAAGAGCAAATAATCTATTATGATAGGAAATTTTTAATATAGAGACAATTTCTAAATGACCCCATGCTGCCTTTCAAGAAATGTCAGTCAGTATCATCTACCAAAGTCAGAAACCAAGGTGTGATCCTTGTCTCTTGTCACCTGCCATGGTCATTCAGGAAAACACTTTTGACTTTGTCATCTTTTTGTTCTCAAATAAGTCTGCTTCTCTCCACCATCTGTGTGAGCACAGTTAAGACAATCCTCACTCCTCATCTGGACTCCTGCATCCTGCCTCCAGCTTCCCTCCACGCTGCCATGTGGCAACCAGAGAAATTTCTCCAGACCACAAATATGATGGTATCATCCACACTTCGAAATGTCTTACTCACTCCCCATTAGCCTTGAAATACCATGATACCTGGAGCCTTTCAAATGCTGGATCCTGGCTCAGCACCACTCTCTGGACTAGTCAAGTCCTTTTCCCCACTTCCTTATCTATATTGGAGCTATACCCACTTGCCTTTTCCTAATGCCCTGTTTTTTTGTTTATTTTTATTGTTTTTTCCGTTTCCAGTCAGTCCCCTTACATCCCTCCCCCACAGCAACCACCACACTGTTGTCCACATTCATGAGTCCTTTTTCCTTTTTGCTCAATCCCTCCACTGCCTAACCTCCCCCTACCCCATAACAGCTGTCCTCTGCTCTCCATCTATCTGTCTGTCTCTGTTTTGCTTGTTAGATCAGTTTGTTCATTAGATTCCACATATGAGTGAAATCATGTGGTATTGTTCTGTTTATATTCTGGGTTTTCTCACACACCAAAACCTTCTGTTCAGCACTCTCTCTGCTCCCCTTTCCAGATTCCATAGTGTGTCCTTCGGGCCTCATCCTGGAAGTCACTTCCTCTTGGAAGTCTTTGCCTCAGCCACCCTGCAGTTGGCCCAAGGTTACAGCTTCTCTCCTAGGTGCTTTTGTAGCGTCCTGTGCTTACCTCACATTAGTACTGACCACCCAAATTATGGTAACTTAATGTCAGTCTCCGTTTGAATATGCGATTCTAGACATGCCTCGTTCAATAGGGCAGTCACTCTCCATATGTGGCTCCTTCAATTTAAGTTAATATAAAATGCAATTAAAAATTCAATTTCTCAGGAGCACTGACCACATTTTAAGTGTCCAGTAGCTACATGTGACTCGCAGTTACCCTCTCGAACAGCACAGATAAGGAACAATTACATCACCAAGAAAGTTGAACAGGACAATACTATTCTAAAAGACAAGTACTGTGTTTCATTTGTCACTTCATCGCCTAGAATTTCAGCCTTTCTTAACCACAGTGTGCCATCTGAACCACATAGCAAAACAGCTACAGCTGAGTGACTATTTTCTCAGTCCTACCAGAAATGATATATAACTGAAACTATTCTATATGCATAGAAAGTAAATTAGTTTATTACATATAAAGATGCCCAAAGTATTAGGTTTAATTCTAACGTAAAGCCCTTATTGAGAAAGTCTGTCATCGTCTATTACAGTGCTTGGCAAAATGTAAGTACTTTATAAGTGTTGGCTGAATAAATAAGTGACACATCTGGATACTTAGATATTTTCTTTTATTTATTTTTACCTAGATGTGTGGAGTCATATAGGAAACATGTCTTTAGATTCCAAAGGGCCTCCTCCCTAGAAGAGATGAGGATAGATAATTTTTTACTTTCATCCCAAGAATAGTTGAATTGTATCACTGCAATAGGATTATCCATTTTTTCACTTTTTTTTTAAACACTGACCAACAAAAATAGACAATTAAGTTGTTATTCAATGAGTAAAATCAAAGTGAAAATGATCAAGATAGATAACTGGATTTGATAAGGACTATTTTTTTTTTAGGGATTAGCCAAAGTTCACTAAAACTGTTAATTATTTCTTGAGCACCTACTATGTACCAGATACTTTGTTAGGTACTGGGGATATAGGAGAAAACAGGACACCGTTCTTTTGCTCACAATGAAACAACGTTAATATCATTATTTCACTTCCTCTCTGCATTGTACCCAAAGCAGGAGTTCTTAACCTTTGCTGCACATTGTAACCACGTGGGAAATTAAAAACAATACTGATACCTGAGTCCTTCCTCAAAAGACCGATATAATTGGTGTGGCCATGGCCTGGGAATTTTTATTTTTTTTAAAGCTCCCCAGGTGATTATAATGTGCAGCCAAAGTTGAGAACTATTAACCTGTGGGGATATAATCTTAGGGTGAGGTCAGAGATGAAGAGTTTTGGTACTCCTGATTGATAGCATATTAGAACCAAAAAGAGAAAGTTTAAAATGGTCTGTTTAGCATATCCTCATTTTAC